CATAAACTTGAATTATGAATATAATTATGCATGATTATTTTATACGGCCAAGACCTTTTTTCTCCCCCGCACGTTTATAACTAATCTAAATAAGTAGCTGGCCTCGACAAAGCGGGCCAAGCTTTCTTTTTCTTTTTTACCTCTCCTTTTTTTTGTGGTGATTTATATAAAATGATGGAGATAAGACTCACGAGTGAAAGAAATATGATTGGAGGATTTTTATCAGCCCTCGCATGAATTATGGTTTGAAAATGCTTATGCAGGGCCATTTCATTAATCATTTAATCATAATCCGTGCAGGATGTTTGAACTGATTTCACAAATACCCTTTCATTTCACTACTTCATTATGCCCGCTAATGGATCCAATATATTATATATATCATAAATTATATCGCATCTTCGCTGACCATGTAGGTCACTGTCACCAGGCAGAGGCTGGTGGAACGGAACACTAGCATTTTCCACGTGCTCGTCTTTCCAAATGCACGTTTACTGTCTTCCACCACAAATCAAAGTGTCGTGCCCGGACCTGAGCAGGGGCCGAGACAAGGGGAGCCAGAACTGATGTCGATGGCCTAATAAATTTGGCAAGGTGGCGTGACATGATGGCAGCGGCGCCATTATTAAGAATAAAGACAACATACGAGCAAAACTGAAAATACATGTGGGGAAACACACTCGACAACACTCGTGACAGAGAGCAGTTTTGACTTCGGAAGTGGAGCACTCAACCTTGAAAGGGAAATGACCTAAACGTGTGTCAAAACGGACTCTGTTTGCTTTCAGAATGAGCATATAAATACCACGTGTCTTTTTGAACGTTGGCACAGCGTGAACACACCTTTTAAGATATTCTGAATTGATTGCTTCGTAAAAATAACACAAGGATTAGGGATGGCGAGTGTTTTAACATGGCCACGATACATCCACACCTTGTTTAAAACTATATTGTGTCTGTTCTGGGTTCCAACATTAATCAATTAAAAACAAGCTGCTTTTGAAGTCAGGGAAGGTTGAAGATGGATCATATAAACATTTCAAAACAACCACCCAGTTTTCATTTGTGGAGAGATAAAATAGGTTCAGGGCATCTTGCATTTTCAGTGAACATGGCTGGACGTGACATGCTTTGGAATTCGTAGTTCACGGCACCCTGCGAGCCCCCGCTACCTTTTTTCATCGTCCTCTCCTCCGTTCCGTCTAATGACATGTAGAGTCACAGTGCATAATTAATAGGAAATTAAATATTCAAGTGGCCCTTAATGCAGCCTCTCGGAAGAGTGTCTGGACAAGAGGAGCTCCGGAGAACGGCAGAATTGACGTCGGGAGAGACTATGAGCGCTGGCATGTGTCACTTTCTGGACTTCAAACGAAGGCTGTTTAAAAGCTTTCTGGCAGGATGACAGCCCCTAATGTAAATGGCCACAATAAAACAAGTTAAATAGACATTACTTAAACAGTCAGCATTTTACATATCACTGAAGCTAGCTGTCCTTTAGCCCAGGTTTTAATAATGCTCTGGGAGGCTGACGCTCTGAAAGGTCTTCCTATTTCTCCCAAACACACGCAGCGGTTTCAATAGCTAAGCATCCGTCAGTTTTTCCTTATCTTCTCACACTGCGTAAAATAATTATGCTTATCTACTGATTTTATTTACTCATACTGCTTGTGTTTGATGGGTAAACACACTTTCCAGGATGGGAAATGCAACACATGTGTTTGTGACAAGTAACCGTAAGCAGAAACCAGTTCTAAGACTAATACTGTTGAAACTGAATTTACAAAGCAATGTGAATTTAAATAAAAAGATAAATACCGAAACTCTCACACAGGATGTCCTAGTGCATCTAGATGGCAGCACTACTGAGTTTGACCATTCAAATATACCAGGTCATGGATGCCCTTGACCTCTTGTAAAAGCATCCTGAGCTGTTCTCTAAACCTTTGCCCCACCCTTCCTGTCCCACTGGAAAAACACACATCGGTTTATCATCGCTTCCTTTTTTATTTATTGGAAATGTTATCATCTAGCATGACTAGGTATGAGATGTTTTCATTTAAAGACGTAACAAATACCCGTATGATTTAAAACAACACCGCTGCACATCACTGGTTGTTGCCTTTGGCTCGGCCTGCAGAGATCCATGTGACGTTAGTGCGCATCTCTCACCGTTCCTTGCCACGTCGCCCCAGGCACCCGTCTTTAGCTACCCAGAAAACTCTTATAATCCAGCTAATTAACTCCCTGATTTCTGTTTATGGTTCTTCGGGCCCGTCGGGTGGAGGATGTACATGTGGGAATGTTTATCGCATGGACGGTTAACACCTTCAGCCTGCCAGCTGAACTCTCACCCAGCCTCGCTTTTTACAAAAGCGGCTTTGTAGAGTCTCCAAATGTTTTCTCAACATGTTCCAAGCAGTTTAGGGCAGACAAGAAAAGTAAACAAGATGTTGCCATGATAAAAACACTTGTGTAAACATTGCAGAGTGTACTTAAAGAGAGCACTTCTCTCTCACTCTCGCTCTCAAGCTCGATTTCAGCTCTGAAATGCTAATTTCTCTTATTTCAATAAGCAAATGATGAATCATGGTTTTGGCCAATAGAAAAAAGGCAACAACGTGAACCACAATCCAAAAACATACCTTAACAGATGCGTGGTTTAGAAAAAACAGGGCAGCAAACTTTCTTTCTAAGCTCTCGGTGGAGAGCAAATACACTTCTTTACATTTTTCTCCACAGGTAAACAGATTCAAAATAGATAATGTTATTATCTGTAAAAGTGTTTACAGAGCCTGGGCTGATTTTAAAAATGCCTTCAAATAAACTGGCAAGAGAAGCACATGAGCAACGACCCTGAGAGAAACAGAGGTGGAAAATAATTTAAAAAAAGCACACAAGATGGTAAAAAATGGTAGGAGTGCAGCTGTAGTTCTGCTTACCACTCGTTTTTCTCTTTTTGGTCTCAGCTTGTGAATCTTTGAGTCGGGCTTGTTTTAGTTTGAACTCAGGATAATGGAACAGTGTTATATCTTGTTTAGAGTGGGACTAATCCAGCCTGACACACACTCAC